TTGGATGTGTATTTTCTCATTGTTCATGATACTTGGAAAGTTTTCTTCTCATAACTCTTCCACAGTTTCTTCAATGTCATTTTTTTCCTTCTTTTTGTTCTGGAATTCCTTTTGCATGCATATTTTTTCTTCTTGATGGTGTCCCATATTATTATTAGACTTTTCTTAATTTTCCTTATTTTTTTATTCTACTTTTTGTTCTAAGAGACCAGTGCTCAGTGTTCTATCTTCTGTTTCACTGATTCTGTTTCCTCTCATCAATTTCGCTCATCTCTCTCTCTCAAACATGTTGATAGGTTTCTGAGATGTTGGTCTTAATATTCTGGATTGTTTTTTCTTGCTTCTCTATGTTATTGCTGTTGTTATTACTTCGTTGATTTTATCTGTCTTGCTTTTTGAAGTTCCTCTTTTTGGACCTGAAAGCATATCATACATGCCCACGCATTCTGCAGTGAAAGTAGTCACCTTTGAGTGTCCTTGGTGAATCAAGATGGCAGATTTCTGGAGTTTCTGGGCATTTTTTTTAATTGCCAAAGATAACAGGTTGGCCTTTCTAAGGTCACTCCTTGTTACCACCATTTCTGATTGCTGAAAACAGTAGCTGCAAACTCCAAAAGTTGTTCCATATTGCTCCGTGGTCCTGGTGCTGCCTTTGGAAGTTTCTTTTCTATGTCAGTGACAGGGTTAGTAAGAAAATGAGTTTTAATGACAATCCTGGACTCCAAGGAAATTAAGTCCAGATTTGGATACTTCTGGTCTACTACAGTGATCTTTCTCCTAACGACAATGGACTTTCTTCCTGTCCCTGGTTTATTTCTGTTACTTTAGTAAAGTTAACAGTTTTAACCTAAATAGTCTGCGTTCACCTTAGCAAGCTTAGAATCATGAGAGTTCTCAGTTTCTCTTGGTTGCCCTTGTTGGTAATCCCACCCTGGATCGAGCAGCCAAGGTGTAGCATTCTCCATCAGTAAAATTGGTTGAAGAGAATGTACACTGTTCCTACTGACCAACTAGAAGATACATGACAGGATATACAGGTAGGAACAAAGACTCATTTAAGCCCTTAATCCTTGTTGTTTCCTGTAGAGATTAATTCTCTTAATTTGTAAGGAGGAAACTTGACTCAGATTTTTCTTTTCTGATTAGTTGAAGATTCCAAAAGTATAAGCTAATTAGAAGAGAGAATTGGACTGTTCATCCACAAAAGAAGGAAATAACTGCTTGAAAACTTGCCAATAGCACTCAATCATGGATGACTCTGGTATGCTGCTTATGTTGATGTTGTGTCCCATCGGAACCAACTCATAGCTGACTCTCCAGTGGGTTTTCAGGGACATTTAATCACACAGGAGGAGAATGCCCATATTTTTCCTGTGGAACAGCAAGTGGATTTGATGTCTTGGGGTTGACAGTGCAACTCCTTACCACTAAGTCACCAGAGCTCCTTCTTTTAGGCTTTAATAAATGAAAGGATAAAGATCTTTTTTTAAAAAATTAATTGATATTTTAATGAAAGTTCACAAAAAACTTGGATTTCTATTCATTAATTGTTGCGCATTTTCCTCTCTTCCCACCTCAGTTCACTCAATTCTATGAAATAGTCTGCTTCCTACGTGACATTGCTGTGGTAGAATTTTTCATGCCTGAGGCCTTAGCAGACTTTTGGTCTAAAAACCTTGGTTTAAGAAGTCACTGCTTCAGGAGAGAGTAGGGCAGTTACCCTGCCTGAGTTTCTGTTAGAACTTTTGACTCAAGGGAATAATTCTTTCAGCTGGGGAGGGACATGGCTTGTGAGTTAGCAGTCTTCTCTGTCAGGCAACGACTGCAGCTAGGCTAGGCAGTTTCAAGGTGCTCAGGGCTAAAGGAAGCTCTGTGAGGGGAGAGGAAATAGGATCACCTGTGATACTGGGGCTCCTGGTGCAGTTCAAAGGGGCAGCACCAGGTCATCCTCCAGATGGCAGGGTGTCCAGGCATCAAGGCCAGGTCCTCCAGGTGACAGATGGAATCATCCTGGTTGTGGGGCCGTGGGGGGCAGATCCTCTAGGTGGTGAGGCTGGGGTGTCCCGGTTGCCAGCGGGAGTGTGCAGGCAGTGGGGCCAGGTCCTCCAGGCTGCAGGTTCAGGAGTCCAGGTGGCGGGGCCAGGGCCATCAAGTGGAAGGGGTGATGCCTTCAGACAGAGGGGGCAGAGGCCTCCAGGCAGCAGGGCCAGGAGCCTCTCGGCAGCTAGACTGGGGGCCTCCAGGCAGTGAGGCCTTAGTCTAGTGCTCCAGGTAGGAGAGCAGTCCAGGCCACACTAAGAACTTTTTAATCCAGGTACCTAGTTAATCAACTGGAACAGATCCATAGCTGCTGACAATACATGCAGTGGCAGCTCAGGATCTTGAGGACCAAAGATCCTCCCAAAGGGGAATAGAGGGGGCATTTGAGATCAGTGTTGATTCCGGATCTGTGGCTCAGATCTGACCCACATCAGAGACATAAAGTCAAAGGCTTCCCCCTTCGGGAAGGGTCACGTACTGTGCTGGGGACAGGATTCAATGGCTATGACATTCCACATGGCCACAGAGACACTACCTGTGGGTGATAAAGCTGCTATGGAATCACTTGAAGGAGGTGGATGTTGTAGCCTTGGTCTAGGAGGAGACACGCTGGAGATATTCTGGCTGGACATTGAGCCCCTGAGGTAGCACGGCAGGCACCATGGATCAGACATTCTTTGGTTCTTTCTGGCCTTTGGTTCTCTTCCTAGTCTGCTAAGTCTCCCTCCTTTCTTACGCATCTAATAGTCTGTTGGAGTCAAGTGCCATAAATCTTTATCACCAGCCAAACTGTCCTAGTACCCACATTGGTATCTATTTTGCCCATTCCTGTTCTTCAGCCTGGAATTTCTTTTTGTCTTTCATTAGTTGAGCGCCTTCTATATGCTAGATGCTGACGAATGAGCTGTGAAAGAGATAGATGAGTGCCAGAGCTCATGGGTCTTAGGTTTCAATGAGGAGACATATATATACACAGGCAGGGATGAGTATATAGAAGTGAGAGCTGCACAGGAGCAAAGGCCAACAGGGTGGGTCTCTGTGAGTCAGAATCAACTCAGTGGTATCAAGTTTAGTGTAGTTGTTGATAATTCCCTTGAGTCAATTCTTACTCAAGGTGATCCTAGTGTAACTGCTTTTTCACGGGGTTTTCAAGGCCCTTTCAGAAGCAGATCACCATGCCTGTTTCTCAAGGGTCCTCTGAATGGATTGGAATTACCATCTTCTCAGTTAGCAATCAAACGCTTAACTTTCAGTGCCATCCAGGGCTCCTATTGTTGAGATTGGTGTTAACTGGTATCACTGTTTCACTGAAATTATTTTGCCCAAGGACACAGTAAGTGGGAAGGATGGGATATCAACTCAGGGCCCCTGGACAAATAATCACACTGGTAAACCTCTAGACTACACTGACATTTGTCAAATGATATGACAGTGACACGATACTGTTGTTGTTAGGTGTCAAGTAGGTGGATTGACATAATGATTCTATGAACAAAATATCTGAACCCTGTTCCATCTTGCTTCATGCTTCCCGAAACACAAGAGACTATTACAGCAGTCATTGTGTCAATCCACCTACTTGAGGGTCTTCCTCTTTTTTCGGCAACCCTCTATCCTTCCCAGCATCATGTCCTTCTCCAAGGAATAGCTCCTCCTAGCAACATGTCCAAAGTATGTGAGGTGAAGCTCAGCTATTCTTACCTCTAAAGAGCACTCTGGCTGGACCCTCTCCAAGACAAACCTGTTTGTGCTTCTGGCTGTCCATGGGATGTGCAGTGCTCTTCTCCAACCCCACAGCTCAAAGGCATCAATTCTCCTGTCATCCTTATTCAGTGTCTAGCTTTCAGATACCTAAGCAAGTAATCAAGAAGACTATAGCCTGAATTAGACACACCTTAGTCCCCAAACTGACATCATTACTCCTCAATAATCTGAAGAGGTCCCTACCTGCAGATTTTCAATACCGTTCTAATGGCAAAATCTAAAAAAGAAAAAAAAAGTCGGGGTTAATTTTTTTTAAGGTTTATAGGTACAATTGTTGACATCTGAATAAGTGATATTTAAGACTAAAGGCAACAATGTTAGCTTTTGACACAAAGAATTTCTAATTTTTTTTTTAAAGGCGCTTCTTATCCACTAGCGGTGCCTCAGGAGAAAGGCCTTTTGATCTAACCATGGAAAGTCACTCACTCACTGTGAAGCATGGTTTTTACTCTTTACAAATGTGTGGGCACCACCAGTCAGAACTGAATAAACAACAACTAATAAGCTGGTGGGACTTAGGCTAAATAATGAAATTGACTATTTAAAGCAGTCATCTAGAGAGTGTCTATTACTGTCTGAAGGACTGCAACACGATGTATAACTCATAACTCAACCCCAAACTAAAGGTCTTCACCTAGATGAGAACTTGCTGTAAGACTGACGTCTCCACGGAGGCCACAACAGAGAGCTGTGGACAATGACATTCAGCAAGAACCCCAGCTGAGTGTGGCAAGAATGACACTAGGAATAACCGTGTGTTTACATGTAAAAGAGATAACACAGATGCACTGGAGAGTAATTCATTATCAACATAAATATTTTCTCTCATAGAACAGGCTGTTGGCTTAAAGGAACAAGGGAGGGGAAATTTGGAATGGGGGAGAAATTTTCTTTGGCACAGAGGCCATGCTTCCCATAAGATAGATTCCCGGGTTGGTGGGTCTGAGATGAGTCTTAAGTAGGATGTAGGGCCCAGGCTCAGAGTCTCTAGAATCAAAGTGGGAAGAACTCTTGCAAAAGCAACTGCAGCAGGAAACAGAAGAAGGGTCCCTGCAGCTGGACATCCTGACACTTTGGCATGTTGTATCTGCCTCTGGTTTGCTTCTTCACCAGTTGAGATTCTTCCAACTCCAAGACTCAAATGTATGACCAAAGGGGGTCTGGCTCATTTTTGGATGGCAGGAGTAGATCCATTTTTATCTAGGAGCAATTGTGTTTGGCGATGAAGTGGGCTGGAATGATCTTTCATATGCTTCAGGGTGCTTTGCCAGGACGTAGAGGAAGCCACCCAGGGCTCCGACTGCTACAGCAGTTCTGTGGGTCGTGCAGGCATCTGAGGGGAGAGAGAATGTCCCTTATCTGTGAGTGCTGGAAGCAGAAACTTTCACTCTTCGGTGAATACTCTTCCCTTATTTCAAGGGCTATTGCATCTGCCTTGCAAGTTTTCTAAAGATGGGGGGGCGGGGTGTCTCACAGATCCCTTTTATGGACCCGTCTCTCTGTTACAGTCAGGCTCCATTCTTACTCTTGTCTTTCTGGAGGATGGTCTTCAACACACTGAAGCCTCTTCATGTGGAAGGCTGTGCTCTAAGCCCAGTTGGCTCCCTCCACCCATCTCTCATTCTGTTGTATTGTAGTCGGGTAGTGCATACTGTGCCATGATGTCAAGGGTAAAGACAAGGGCAAAAGAAATACCATCTCCTCTCTGCAAGATTCACAGCCTCGAAAACCCAGTTGAGGCTCCGTATGTCTTATACAGATTTGATGGCACCAAGCTTGGTTTTGTGTTTTGGAATGTTTGCCACAAGGCTGGAAGATAGACCAACACACAGACATATTCCCTAGAGAATGAGGTGTCGGTTCTCCACTAGCACCATTTAGTGAGTTAAATGAACTCTTGCAGGGTCCACAGCTGCAGTCCTGACCTGCTGAATGAGTGTGGCAGCAAACCCGAGCATCTGCATTTAACAAACCCCTCTGACTTAAAACAGACCGTCTTACTTCAAAGGGTCTGCTCCTTTGAGCACCCCAAGCTTCCAATCTAGAATTTGCGGGGAAATTATCCTACACCCAAGTTACTGGATAAGGCAGATGGTTAGCATGCTTAACTGGTCTCTGAAACGGTGGAAGTTCAAGGTGACCCCAAATTTCCTCAAAAGAAACATCTGAGAGTATGTTTCTGAAAAAGTAGCCTCTGAAGAGCCTGGGAAGCACAGTTATAAGCAAGCCCACGTGAGAGTGTTAGGAGCCAGCGGAAGCTGGTTTCCCCTGCTTCAGGCACTGCACTGGGCTGGGTGAAATAACAGACATTATGTCTGCTCTTCTTCTGTGCTCAGGAAGGTGGATTTAACGATGCTCCCTTATTTAATGATAGAGAAATGCAGGCTGAGAGAGGAGATGCCCAGCTGCTCTCTCTCCCTCTCTGTGGGTATACCACCTCTTCAAAATCGTCCCTGACTTTACCTGAGGAGTCTCCTCAAACATCTCTGTGCTTCCCCATTTTCTCCTTCACAACTTTTAGTACACCTTTGTAATTGTTTTTTTTTATCTGCAGGTCTCTGGAGGTGTTCTCTACCTCTTTTTATCAAGGTTGTTTCTCCTTTTTCTATCTCATTCCCCACAGTATCCTCAGAGTTTAGAACAGTGCCTGGAACATAGCCACTGCCTTCAAATCAATCCCAACTCATAGTAACCCTATGCCAGCAAATACTAGGTAAATGAATAAAACTGATAATGCTTGTCTAGAGGATTAAAGACTAATGAGATGGTTTACTATCCTGCCTGTTGTTGTTGTTGTTGTTTACCACTGAATCAGAACTGACCTATGACTGACACTGGGTTTAGAGGCAGCTAATCACACAGGAGGAGATTTGCACATCCTTCTCCAATGAAGCAGCTGGTGGCCTCGAACCCAAACCGCGTGCCTTTGGGACAGTAGAGCATCTTGTTGCCTCTAAGCTACTAGAGCTCCCTGTTCATTTTCAAGTCACTCACCACATACACCTGTAGGTGTATTTGTTAGCATGTGTGTTACATATCCCTCTCCAAGACCTGATACACAACAGCCTTTCCCTGTCCTTCCTAGAACACGTATCCCACGCCCTTGGCCCCCTCCTGCCTCAAGCAGGGAAGAAACACCACCTACCAGTTTTCATGAAGCATCCTTTCTGAGGGTTCTGCCAGTTAAGAATGGTTTTGAGCCACTGGAACTTGTAGAAGTCGACAAATCCACCAAGTCCACAGAACAAGACTGCAAGCAAAGGAAGAGGGGTGCTCTGCACACGTGTGCCTTTTAGGTGCCCCTTTTAAGGGTCAAAGCTTCCCTCTCCGCCATGTACACCATGGAGTCAAAGGTCTCTTCCTCCAAGGACTAGGAGGCCATGAAGGTCAGCCCTGACATACTGGCTGGAAAAGGCAGCCAGAAATACAGTCTTTGTGACAAGCAATTCATTGATTGGTACCCTGCCTTGTGCTTAACACCTTGGACAGAGTTGTTTGCTTATCAGTTGGGGGTCAGTAAAGGGATTTGAACACTTGAGCCAAGGACACACATATTTCTCAAAAAGACTCTGCAATTTTCTTAAACTTCTGCTTCTACTAAAGTATCATCAACTGCTTGTCTGAAATGCAGTCTGAATCAAGTGTTAAACACAGGTCTTCTCTTTTGGCCTCATCACTAAGGCTTTCATAGTCTGTCAGTTAGTTGGATGGTGAGAGTAGCCAGTGTTCTGTGATTGGATCACCCTTGGGCACAGAAGGTAGCAGGGAAGGAAGAGACTGCAACAACAGTTCAGATCAAAATTCGTAAGTAAAAATAAAATAAAAACTAAGGTGCACCTGCCCCAGACCCATGGTATTTTTAATTGCTTAGATTGCATGTGAAAGTTGGGCAATAGTTAGGGAAGATCTAAGATGAAGTCTGTCAAGCCATCTCTCTGAGGGTCTTCTGAGCTTTCACTGACACGCTCCCTTTCCTAGCGTGGCACCGTTTTCCAGAGGCAGGTCCTTCCTGACCACAAGCTCAAGGTAATTAAGCGGAAGGATGCTCTTTCCAAGCCAGGATTGTGAAACTCTGTGTCATACTTTGGGAAAGTGGTGCCAGTTCTTGGAAAACAGTCTCATACTTGGGAAAGTAGAAGGTTAGTGAGAGACTTTCAAAGAGATGGATTGGCACCGTAACTGTAGCAACGGGCTTGACTGTGGAGAGATCATGAGGTTCCACAGGATAGGGGAGAGTTTCGATCGTCTGTTCAGGGGACCTCTGTGAGTCATAGTCTGCTTGATTCTACAGTGCCTGGCAACAATATACTAAAAACACCGGTGTTTATACGGCATTCAAAATCAAGGTGGAGTATGATCTTTTTCCTTGCTGTACCAAGGAACACTTAGGTGAGAAATACGTGCACGGGAATGTGCTGGCGCACACACTTGATGTCTATATGAATGTGATCAATTGAGTGCATGTTTGCCCACAAGTGCACGTGTGCACACATGTCAATGTACATGCTTGTGTTTGTATTCATGCTTGTGTGTGAGTGTGCACAAGCTTTGTGTCTGTGTGAGTGTGTGCAGACATGCCTCAAATCAGCAAGGGTCTCTCAGCCTTGTTGAGGGTGAGATAGGGACATACTGTTTTGCATGAAGAGTTCCTGGTGGCTGTCGGGATGTCTTTCAGCATCAGCCTTCTGGTTCAAGTTCATCATTTTGGCACAGAAGTGGTCCAGGAAGTGCTGGGTTTCTTTGAACAGCCCCTCTGTGCATCCAATCTTGGGGACAAACACACAGACAAGGAATTTAGTAACAGTGGGAGCCACCAACTGCGAATGCTGCATGTAATAATAATTTGCGTTCTGAAGTGGTCTGACATGTGGCTGCATTTGATAGAGACCCTCCTCCCCTTTCTTGGGATTTCTTAGCACCGCCCTAGACCGCTTCTTTGGGCTCTGTCCCTGTGGAATTGCTCTGGGTCAGAAGGAGCTGAGTTACAATCATGTTCCACCATTACTATTTCCTTGGCCTTGGCCAGCTGTATTCACCTTCTAAATTCCTGCCTTGAGCTCTCCACCTTCACAGGACAATGCCACTAGATACTGAATGGAAGTATCTTTGTGGGTAGCGATGTCATTACCAAGGAGCCCTCTACCGAGGCTCTTGTCATTGGGATATGCTTTGAAATCATTGGCTGCTATAATACATTATGGTTCAGACAAAACGAATCATTCCTTACTATTCAAGGCGTGGTCTCCAGCCTTGACTGAGTCCTGGCCTGTGATGTCAGATGACAGGAGTTAAGAGAAGGCCTTAGAAACTTCAGAGTCACAAAGCAAACACACTGTTTTGAAGAGTTACTATGCATGTTAGCATTTGGATACTAATTGAAAGATCAGTCAATAACCAGTCAGAGAAAGACCAGAACTCTGTTACCTTAACAACTTGCTGCCCGGAAATTGTACGGAGGGAGTTCTATTCTGTTCTACAGGACTAATATGAATCAGAATCATCTAGACTTTAGCCATTTCCTATCTGCTGAATGCAATAACCAATTCAACTCCTCTGTAATTCCATTTTGTTATATTTGTTGGTGTGTGCTGTCGAGTCAAAACCAACTCATAGCTAACCCGCAGGCAGGTTTTCACAGCTTGTAAATCGCACGGGAGGCGAGTGTGTCCATTCTTCTGCTGATCAGCTGGTGAATTTGAACCATGTGCCTTTGGGATTGCAGCACAGCTTCTTACCACTAGGAAACCAGGACTTCCTTTTTATATTTTAGGAAAGGTTTATTTGCTACAGCTTAAAAATTAATAGTAATAATAATAAACTGTCACACAAAAACAACAAACTACTTTTCTGCAAAGAATTTTGGACACTGGAAACATTTTTGAAAGACAATAAAAAGCCTCACCCCTTGATATATAAAGCAGAGGTACAAACATTCCTCAGATATCCTGTAGATTTGGGACTAGGTAATGGAAATAAAGTGAACATAGAATAATTCACTTTTTTGCGCAGGACTGAATAATGCGAACTCTGGTTTCTCTGTGCATATGAAAGTTGTGTTTTCACTATGATTGAATCTATTACATTTACAGTTGTGGTATGAAAAATTTCAAGATATTGGGAAAATAACTAAAATAAGACAGTGTGCACTTGTACCTGGAGAAATAGAATCTATTAACTTGGTCCAAGCAGATTTTCCACAAGCTTTCGTTTTGAAAGAAAAAATAAATTAAAGACTAGAAGCAGCGATACCTGCCAAGTACAAGAAAACAAGGCGTACGTGTAATTTTAAACTTATTATTGTTACTTAGGAAAGTTGAGATCTTGAGACCTTACCCTGACTTCTGAGCACAGGAGGTGAACCAAGAAATGCCTCTGCCTTATCCCGAGCCCTGTAGGCCACACGAGGGCGCTGTGCACTCAGCCCACCTGGGTCTACAGGGCTTCTTCCCCCATCCTCTTAATAACTTTAATATGAAAGACAACGATGATCTATATTTCAGATAATACTGACAAAAAACTTCAACATCCTCTAACAAGTACTAAAAATGAACAAACAAAAGGGTAACGGTGACTCACAAACTGATACTATTCAACCATTACAGATCTCGTTATCATTGACAATCATGTTTGGAGGGTGAGTGGAAAAATGAGCTGAAATAGCATCAGGGCATTTAAAACCTTTATTCAGCCTTTACCATTTTGCTAAGTTGTGTGTATGCATTCAAGAGGGCTTCTTGAGGTCTCTAACTTCTTTCCCTTCAAAAGTGTCTACCGTTATGAGTTAACTGATGAGTGTGGAAGACATGAATAAGATACCTCAGCCATGAAAGGACAAATACTGCATAAATGACCACTGTTACAATGATAAGATGGGTATGAGGGTGAGTGAGGCAGGAAAAGAACGGGTAGATGATAAACACTGCAACATTGCAATAAGGGAAGGACAATCTGACAAGAATGGACGAGCAGATATAATGTGTCAGTGGTTCGGACCCACCAGCTGTTTTGCTGCAGAAAGCTGAGTCGGTCAGCTTCCGAAAAGATTACACCCTATGAGGAACCCTATGGACAGTTCTGCTCTGTCCTTCGTGGTTGCTACGTTTCAGAATCAATTAGATGACGGTTGAATGACTGCCTTATATAAGGACTCTATACTGAGTTGCTGACAGAAAGGTTGCCAGTTTGAACCCGTCACACACTCCTTAGAAAGATGGGACAGTCAACTTCTGTAAACATAAACTTGGCAAACCTGCGGAACGTTCTCTTCAGTAGTATTGATTTGCTATGAACTTCAATCCAGTAGATGACAACTAGTTTTATCTTTTCATTTGTTTATATTTAATGTCTTTTTAAAAATGAGGCCTTGTTTAGCATTCGTGGTCATCTGTCTGCTTTATGGGATGCCAGATCACAGATCTCTCTTCATTATTACAAGATTCATTTGTGGAGATCCATGTCTGGGTACTGTCCTTTCTTCCTCTGAATGTCTGAAGCGCAAATCCAGCATACGAATCTCTACTGTCCTTGCTCCAGCTGCTGTCGGTTCAGTCGTGACTCTTGGCAACGCCGTCACGTAGCTGTTTTCATTGTAATGGAGCCAATTACAGCCCACAGGAACCCTCTAAACAGCAGCTCTGAACCCTGCCCTTCCCGCACCGACCTCATAATCTCTGAGAAGTCCAAGCCCATTGTCACGTTCACAGTGTCAGTCTGTCTTGTTGGGAGTCTTCCTCTCTTTCCCTGACCCTCCACCTTTCCCGAGAAAGGGCTCCTTCCAACAACATACCTAAAATACGTGAGACTACAAGCCTCACCATCCTTGCCTCTAAGGCGAATCCTGGTTCCACTTCCGCTAAGACAGACTTGCTTGGGGTTGGAGTTTTGGTGTTGGGTTTTTTTGGGTTTTGGTTTTTGGTTTTTTTTTTTGTCAGTTCGTGAGATATTGAGTGCTCTTCTCCAGCATCACAATTCAAAGGCATCAGTCCTTCTGTCATCCTTATCCACTGTCTAACTTTCAGCTTTCAGGTGCAGAAGAATTAATAATATCATAACGTGGATCAGGTGCACCTTAGTCTTTAAACCGACATCCTTCTATTTTGGCACTTTGAAGAGGTCCTCAACAACACATTTTGCCAATGCAACCTTTGTCTTTTGATTTTCTGACTTTTTTTTTTTGTGCTCCATAGAGTTTTCAATAGTGAGTGCTATTCTGTAGCTATCTGGGTCTTTAATCCAAGGCACCTCTCGTTGGACCCTCCAGTACCTCTGTTAGCAGACAAACAGGTGAAAAATGTTTGTACCACCCAGGCACTCCGTACACTAGCCTGTTGCCATTCACTTTATTTCCACACATAGCTTCCCCCGCCCCCATGTTTGAGAGAGTTTCCTGGGCTATAATCTTTATGGAAGCAGATTTCTAGGTCTTTTTGCCCAAGAAGTAGCAGATAGCCTTTAACTTCCAATGTTTTGTTTAGCTCTGTGTTTCAAGGTGTTGAGGAGACTCTGACTCTCGGCCCTTTACTGCTCTAGCCTCACAATAATTGTAATATTTGAGTCTGTTGCTGTAACTATAGTATCAGATCAGCACAGCTCATTCAGGGTCTTCTTTTTAGATGATTCCCTATTTTACCACACATTATGTTCATCCCCGTGAACTGGTCTCGGCCTCCTAAGAAACATTCTAGCTTAACTGGCTCTTGGTTTCTGAACTACCTGTCTAGCGCACCTTTTACCAGTTATGGCTGTTGTTGTTATGAGCCACCAAGTCAGAATGAACTCACAGCTGACCATCCAATAGATTTTTCAGAGACTGTAAACTGCACAGGAGAACACTAACCATTTTTCTGCTATCGAGCAGCTGATGGATTCAAACCACATGCCTTTGGGTTGGCAGCACAACTCTTTCTCACTCCTTCTAGGCCATCACCTGTAGCCCCTGAGACATTTTGCTTTTGAATCAATTGCTCTTTGCCAGCCCGTACTCACCATTCTGGAGAGGAGGAAGTAGAACACTTGGTGGGACAAATAGTGATCTGAGCCATCGTATGTGGTCAGGAGGGCCTCGCACAAAGGTGAGTAGCTGCAGGGCTGGCTGTCTTTCACCCTGAAGGAAAGAGGGTAAGGGTTGTTAGGAAGAGGGAATGCTTTCTAAAAAGAAATGCAGACAACAAGTTGACTCATTCTTACTTTTCTGGAACCTGACCCTGTGCTAGATTTTATCTTATCACCATCCAGCGTCATCCAGTCAAGTCTGACTCAGAGACCATCAGGGTTGGACAGAACTACATCACAGGGCTTGTTAGGCTGTAGTCCTCATGGGACAGACTGCTGTACCTCCCTTCCCTGGAGTGGTTTATGAGTTCATAACACTGCCTTTCAGTTACCAGAGGAGCAGTAACCTCTGTCACACTAGGACCCTGGTTATTTTGTAGCTTCCCGATACCAGGAGGGCCTAAGGACAGATACTAGATGAAATACTAACGTGGATGGATACGTGTGCTCTCAGGCAGAAGGGGACACCCCAGCCAGAGTTTGATATAGGAGGAAACCTTGAAGAATCTGGAAGGAGTATCCAGGAAAGGCTTGAGGGCCAGACAGGACCGAGAGAGGCCCCAAGATTGGTCTTGTCTTGAGAAAGGAGGTGTGCTTTGGGGACAGAGCACTCTTGTTAAGGCATGACATCCCTGTCTAGTTGTTTCAGAGCTGGTGGTGGGGGTTGAGAGGTGGGAAGGCTGTTGGGTGGAGAAGTGACTAGGAAGGGCCAACATGGGGAGGGGAAAGGAAGGTATCAGTGACCCCTTGGGGCCTGGGTGTGGTTATGGCTAGATCTTTGGGCTCATCTGTGGAGAAACAGAACCACTGAGACCCAGAGAGCACTTTGGAACTGGTAAAAAGCAGGGGGTGTAGGTCAAACTCACCGAGTGCCCAGGAGCTCCACTACACACTGGCTGCTGGAGTCCTGCATTAGGAAGCCTGAGAATTGGGTGGTGGGGAAGACCTTGGAGGCATTGGTGTCAGTCCAGATGTGAGGAAGCTTCCAGAACCCCAACTGGATGATTGGCAGGAACTCTGGTTGAGAGCATGATACGATGAGAGATAGTGACAACCCCCCACTGCAGAATATACACTTGCAGCCAAGTATCACATGTTGTCATAGGTGCCAGACCTGGGAAAGGAGGCTGACTCTGACCGTTTGTACCCTGTTACCGTATGGAGGCTCTGGGGAGCAGCCCACTCATTTAGGATGAAACCCTAAACCTTGGAGGTGAGCCGGACAGATGAAGCAGGTACTCATCATCTCTTGTCCCTATGGGTAGAGTGAAGGGCCATGTTTTTTCAAGTCACGAGTTCTAGAACCTTGCCTAGTGTTGCCCTAGAGTTCCAGATGGTCCCAACATGTCCTCTGCACCTGAGACACCCCTGCTGGATTGTTTCCATAAACACGGCTAGACCACACGTCCCAGAAGGGCCTTCCCTGCGCATTTACCTTGTACATGGACAGGTTCGCTCTGATTCAGGTGGTCGAAAGAGCTGCTGCGAAGGTTCATCAACCTCTCAGACAGTATTCTCACTTTCTCGAACAGGGGCTCCGGGACGGGTTCCACAGCCCATGCTTCCTGAACACCTTGGAGCTCCACTGGGAATGAGCAGAGTTATTTCACTTTACGGTGTGTACATTACAAGGTCATACTAGAGTATGTCACTTACTATACTGGGTTGAACCGTGTTTCCCAAGAAAGACACACCTACATCCTACCCAGTAGTTCCTGATCATGCTACAGACAGGAATAGCGTTCCATTCTCCAAAAATCCAGGTTGCAAATCTTAATCCTCTGGTGGTTAGAATCCCACTTGGGTTTTCCCCACCCACTCCCATGTTAATGAGTCAGTGTTCATAATGAGTGTATTTTAAATCAGTCCCTTTTGAAACAGATAAAAGATGGAACAAGAAAGGGAACAAACAGAGATGCGGGGGAAAAGGTACCCAGATACATGAAGACTTACAAGGAACCAGGGGGCAAAGATCTTCCTACAGAGGTAATCAAGATAGGAAGGCTTCCCCTACACAGATGACCTGAACCTGGATGAAGAGCCTACTTAAATGTGAGAAAATAAATATGTGTTCCCAGAGACAATAGCCAAGTTCAACGGGGCAGCAAACAACAAATGCTGGCGAGTTTGTGGATAGATTGGAACCCTTATTACTGCTGGTTTGAGTGTAAAATGGTACAACCACTATGAAAGGCAATCTGGCACTTTCTCAAAAAGTTGGAAATAGGTATCATTTGACCCAGCAATTCCACTCCTAGAAATATACCCTAAAGAAACCAGAGCTGCCACTAAACAGATGTATACATATCCATAATTATTGCTGCATTGTTCACAGTAGCAGAAAAATAGAAGCAACCCAAGTGCCCATAAAAAAAAAATGAATATATAGGGGAAAAAACTATGGAATATTCACACAATGGAATACTACACAACACTAAAAAACAAGGAATTCATAAAAATATTACACAACATGGGTGATCCTGGAGGACATTATGCTGAGTGAAATATCTCAGTCACAGAAGGACAAATAATGCATAACACCACCATTATAAAACAGGTCTGACATGGGGTTTGTGGGGGCAACTGAGAAAAGAGGGGATAAATAATGGGCACTGTTCTGGAACAGATGAAGGAAAGAACTGTTCAAGAGGAATCTATGGTTAGGCATTATCTGTAAGACGACAGTTCAGCATAAGAGGTGCACAGCAAAGTGAACTGGGAGAGAGGGGAGGGAATAATGCAAAACCAGCAACAACAACAAAATAAACATGTGTTATAGTTGCACTGGGGATTAAAGCAACTTGTTTGGAAATGGGGACTCTATAGATGTAATTATAGTATAGATTAAGCTGAAGTCAGATTAGACAAGGTGGGCTCTGCATCCACTTGCTTGTGTCCTTGGAAAAGAACATACACTGAGAAAGAGAATAAATCCATATTAAGACAGAGGCAGAGATAAAACGATGGAGGACAAAGCCAGGAATACCAGGAATCTCAGTCAATGGGAAGAAACAAGGAAAAATTCTTCCTTAGAGCCATCAGAGGAACTACAGCATTCCTGGAACCTTGCTTCTAGGTCATTGTCTCCTCCTGAAGTGAGACAAAAGACGTTTCTGCTAGTTTCGGTTTCCCCTTAGCATGTGGCACTTGATTATACCTTCGCCTTTGGATATTAGTCAGCTTCGTGCAAACCTTTGTACTTCTTTCATTTCCCAGACCCTGGCTGAGGGAGCTGATACCAGAGCCCTGCAGTTACAGAGCCCAGCTCGCCTGGGGTGGAGGCAAGGTTGCCGGTCCACCTCGTCCTATCCAGAGCCCCGTGTGAAACAATCCTAAACTCAAAAATTAACACACAGTGCTCTGTTCTGCGAGCACCTGTTGGTCACTCTGGCTAGGAGCAGAGGAGGCTGGGCTTGAGATAGGAACTTCAGCGTCTCTAGTTTGCTCGCTGGACTGTGGTCTCTTCTGGAAAATAGATGACCCACAAATGTACATTTGAAGGGCACACTCTGCTGACTGTCTTGTTGAGGTAATACCAGGAGGGACAGCCCAATAACAACTTCCAACTCTATTTTCATGTTCTTTTTGAAATCCTTCTTATAAACTACCCCAAAACCCAGGAATAATAACAAGCTACCACCAAGTGTGTTTCCTTAGAACCCTGGCAAGCTGCTGGCGTGCCAGCTTGTGGCTGGACTCGAGATGCAGAGTCGGTAAGGAGAGGGTTCCGCTGGCGTCTCACCCACCTTGCAGGATCTGTAGGTATATCATGGTACTCATTTTTAAATGACCTTTCGTCCTCTCCAGGAAGAGGGTGCCTCGCTCCAGTGAGGACAGGATCGTTTTCGCGATGGTGTCCTTGTACTCAAGGATACTGGGTTGAGGTGACGAGGCGGTCAGTGGTGATGAGGGCAGCAGCAGAAGCAGGAGCAGGGGCCCCAAGAACGACATGGTTCCCTTCGTTTCCCAGCTGGTCTAGTGCTTCTACACCAAACTCTTTGCTTAAATCTGCCTGGTTTGCATCTCTTCCACACTGCTCCTCTTCCTCTTCCTCCTTCTCCTCCTTTCCCTTCTCTTCCTCCTTTGTTTCCACTTCCTCCTCTGCCTTTTCTTCATTCTCATCATCCTGTAGATAAGGGAATGGGCAGGGCTGCCCTTTCTGGGTAGCAACACAAGCCAGGTGCCTAGAGAAGCCTCTTAAAAAGACAGTTACAGGTGACGGTCTTGTGCTCAGTAGAAAAAAGGTTCCCACTCTTGTGCCATCTTCGGGGTCACTGGTATATCTGAGCCTATTTGCAAAGTCATTGTGTCAGCCCATTTTATCTTTGAGACGAGGTTAAGAATGCTACTATCGGGGAGCTCTGGTGGCCTAGTGGCAAGGAGCTGCAACTACAATCCCAGAGGTGCACGGTTCAAATCCACCAGATGCTCTGCCGGGGAAGGAGGGAAAATCTCCTCCTGTACCAGTTAGATCTGATTTGACGGTACACGGACATCATCATCATAATAATAATAATAATAATGATAATAATAATAATGAATGCTACTATCTCTGAGCAATGGGGACTTGGGGAGATGGGACGATGGAAGTCATAGGTCAACAGTAATTAGTTACATAGGCACAATATGTAGAAATGATTGTATAAAGCAAAATATACATGAATGAAACAATGTAGAGTAATGATTGAATAAAACAAAATGTACATGAATTAAACAATGAACACAAATGATCATATAAAGGTGAATGGAATGATTGTGTCCACAGGCTGGTAACTTCAGTGCGTGGAGATCACACATGTCACAGGGTAGAACTGCTCCGTGGAGTTTTCTATACTGTCGCTTTTACAACATGTTGCTTTGAAGACTCAGTGGTTAAAGAGCTTGTCTGCTAGTCCAAATGCCAGTGAGTTTCAACTCTTTGTTGAATATTGGCTGCCCTCTGGCAGATGCATTTATTTCTGGGTTCTCAGTTCTATTGCCTTGGTCTATGTACCTGTCTTGGTTCTAGTGTTGTTGTTGTGTGCTGTCAAGTTAATGAACTCCACTAAGAGGATCCATTCATGAAATCCACTATGGGGAAAAAAGACAGCCCGTTTTAATCAATGTGGCTGGCAGGACTGGATATGTATTTGCAGAAAATTGACATAAGACCTATACATCACACCATATTTTAAAAAAATTGACTCAAAATACAAACAGGGAGCTCTGGTGGCCTAGTGGCAAGAAGTTGTGTTGCAAACTCAAAGGCACGCAGTTCAAATCCACCAGATGCTCCACTGGAGAAGGAGGGGCAATCTCCTCCTGTGCCAGTCAGATCCACCACCACCACCACAACAACAAATAAATACATACATACATACATAAGAACGAATGTATTTTGGAAAGATGAAGAAAATAATTGACTCAGGATGGTTCAATGATATTTGAGATCACAGCGCAGCTTCTTAACCATTCGGCCACCAGAGCTCCCTGACCCAAGCCGTTATGTTTTCCATTACTGCACTGTGTTGGTTCCCACCTTCCACTGGCCCTTGTGAGCAGGTGCTTCCCTGGTTGGAGGGTGGTCCAGAGAGAAATCAAAGACCATCAATACCTAGGAACAACCCAACCTTTGTCTGCTGCCAGTCAGAGTTAACTCGGGGTGCTGAGAAGCCAGACAAATGTGTCTCCTTCAGCCGCCCCCACCCCCCACCAGCAGGAAATGAGGTGAGGCCACATCTATGAGATGACTCCAACTAATCTCGGCCCTGACTGACAGAGGGGAATGGCTCCAAATGCATTTCTTGGCTGGATTCTCACAGGAGCTTACATTGTGGGCTAACGCTAGGTGGGTCACGACTTCCAGCCTGGTTACCAGTTGTGTACAGAATCATTTTGCTGCCTAGGACTTCCATTAATGTGGAACACTGTACAACACATTGGTTTCTATCAAGAAATTATCCTTTTAAAAGAGCTCTGATAATTCTTTGATTAAAATATTTTTAAATGTTTCTTAAAAGGAGCAGATGAAGCAGGCTGCTTCTATTAAGATTCCAAGGCTTGGGAATAGTAAGGGGAACTTTTCTTTTGCCCTCCAGGGTTGCTGTGAATATGAGTGGACTTGATTACAGTATGTGTGGGATTCTTGGCTTCCCTTCCCCTCCCCAGAGCAATTTAGGCCAGGCCTCCACAGCTCCCCTGTATGTATGTAGTAAGTGCCTTAAGGCAGGGTTGATATCTCCCATGGGACAGTGGCTTTGAGATACCTGGGGACTCTTCTCATAATTCCCAACTCCTGAAAATTTTGTATATTTTCCTTCCTCCTTTTGTTTTTCCTTTGTCTTGTTATCACTGTGGAAATTGTAGGACAAAACCATTTTCCATTCAGTAATTTATACAGACCTGCTTTGTCACAGTGCTTGCCATGTCACCCTGCAGCCTCATTCATGGGGTGGTATGTTTGTCTTATAGATATAAGACTTATATAAAAAAAGCAGGGAGAATGGTAGGGTAGAATTAATAAGTTCAGAATTCTCTCTATATGTAGGTTATAAAACTATAGTTATATAAGACTAACATCAGTTTTCTTCAGCCTGCAAAACTAGTTACTTAGCCTCTGAATTCTCGATTTCCTGTCTTTAGTCATGTAAAGTAGTTTGATCTCTCTGTTTACCAGAAATGGATATGCTTCTCTCCTAGATCTCTCTAAGGCTGGTTCTTCTCCAGTCATATATGTAAATTGTATCTTAACCTGCCTGTTTACCAGTACTTAATGAGTACTTACAAATGAACTTTTCTTTTCAGATGTAGAAATTACTTTTTCCCCCCATTTAACAATGCATTGTTAAATGAGCTAGGGTTTCACCCTAGTATAAAACCCAGTGATCACTGCCCAACGGGGAGGCAGTCTCAGAGGTGACTCGCTGTCTCCCAGATCTGTGTAATAAAGTGCTTATGGATTTTGCAATTCGTTTGTCTCATTGGCGATTGACTACGGAAAGAACCCCTTGTGTTCGGTAGCATCATTCTTTCCTCTTCTGCCCTGTGTTCTCTGTCTTCATTTGCCCTTCTTCCTGGCTCTTCTCTGCTTTCTGAACTTCGGGGGTCTTTTGGTTGAAGGCTGCCTTTTGGGTCTCACATAGATAATTATCAGAGGAGAATCTCTCTCTAGGTGTAATCATTCATCTAGGTGTTTTATGCTGTTGAATCAGAGACGACTCACAGGTGACCCTCCAGCTGGTATTCAGAGGCAGTAAATCACATAGAAGGAAACTGTCTGTTCTTCTGCCACAGAGCAGCTGGTAGACTCGAACTGCTTGCTTTTCAGATTGCAGCACAGCTTCCTACCACTAGGCCACCAGAGCTCCCTATCATTCCCTTTATAGTGCACACATTTTAGTTAAAAGATTTAAAAAGTAACTTTTTTTTTGCATGAGGAAATACAAAATTGGGTTTCATTGGTCACCGGAGGAGAAAGTGGTGAAGCCAACTCAGGCCTGTGGAGGCCTTTGTCATTGCTTGCTATTTCCCTGATTCCCAGGTCTTCCCCTCAAAGACCTCAGTTCCAATAAACTCAGGGATTCCTTCCCTAACAGAAGCTTGAGTTTTTTAACTGAAGTTTGAAGGAGAGAGGCTCACCATAGTCAGTGCATTGCTTTCTATTGGCAATTGTAAACCATTACCACAAACTAAAGGTGTGAAGGAACTGACCACAGAAAGTAAGTTACTTTCACAGTTCTGGAGTCCAGAAGCAAAAACACCTCATGCGTGAACAGATGCATATTTGTTTTGGAATTTCTAGGCCCGAGTTCTCCCTTATCTCTCTATCTTCAGGTGGTTGCCAGCAACCCCTGCCATTCTGTCACATCCATCTTCACAGGACCATCTTCTGTGTTTGTCTTAGCCTCTGTGTGTGTGTATGTGTGTGTCTGTGTATTATGCCTTCCAAAGTCATTCCCATGTGCGTTCAGTTTTCAGCTTCCTTCAATACAACCTCATCCTCATTTGTCTTCTAATTGTATCAGCAAGTACCCCATTCTTTTCTTTTTTTTTAAGAGTCTTCATTTCCTAACACTGTTAAGATGGAATTTTATTTTCTCACAGTTGGGAATAAGGAGTTTGAATGCAAGTCTTTTGATTGAAAGAAAGCTTCTCTCTCTCTTTTTCATCTGGAGGAAGGATTTCTTTTTTTTTCCTGGGCAACTTCACAAAGTCTTCCTGATTTATGCTTGCCTTTCTGCATCTTCATCTACTTCAAAAGTGGTTGGATGCCCTTACAAGTTTTATTAGTTATCATTTTATTTTTTACAAAAATAAAAGGAGACAGTTAGTTAACTCAGCATGATGCTCTCTAGTCTCTCCCAAGTTAATGTACTATTTTTTGAAATCGTGGCTCCTGCATGCCGCATCTGATTCTGTTGTGTGAATGTCCCACAATTTCTCAGTCCACTCAGTTGTGGTTGGACATTTGGGCTGTTTTGATGTTCTTACGATGATGAATAATGCTGCTGGGTAGGGAGGGGTGAAACCACAGGGTTGCACAATTTGATGGTTAGAAAGTGAGGGTGAAAAGACAGGGGTAAGGTCCAATGGTGATTAGTTTTATAAAACAAGAGGGAGCAGTCCTTGGAGAGGGACATCGTGTTTTGAAGAGTGGAGCAACAGCACAGGAGAGACCCAGGATGAGATAGACTAACCCAGTGACTAGAGAAATGGGATTAGGTCTGTTGGAGACAACAAGGTAGACTCAGGATAGGACAGGGTCCAGAGCTAATGTACCCAGGGTCGCTATGTGTTACAGGCGACTCAGTGGCACACAACAACAAAAATGCTTAGGGATGATGGTATGAAACACAATGGGAATGAAGAATAGTGTGAAATACAACGTATATGAACTTAGTAAGCAAAGCAATACAACATAAGAAAAAAATTAAAGTGATTGGATGACGTCATTTTGCAAAAATGTTGTAAAT